TGACAGCCATGACTTCATTCTCCTGCTTTTGTGGCATGGTGCAGAGTCCTGTTGCCAGACAGAGTCTTCCATCTGCCACCCTCTTGACCCAGACCAGCACTACCCCACTCCCTGGGCATGATGTAAGCCTCCATGTTGTCTGAAGCCCTGTTGGAAGATGAATGGAAGCATAACATTGCCATCTCTAATGATCACTCCATACATCATGATGTTGACTGGTTATATCACCCAACTCTTTCCAAATACTCTGAACTGTCCTCAGATTGGCACCCAAACATTCTGAAATGTTCATATTGAAGTTTCCAGTATGAATGAATGTCAAGCAGTACAACATGCCATCTCCAAATTTCTGGCAGAGTGAATTGCATCATGGTGCTCTTTTTCTCACAGAAGGTGCCCAACTGACCCTACTATACTGTGTAGTCAAAAACAAACAACACGCATGCATGAAATTAAAAATATAAAATGGTGACAATTTACCCATGACACCCTGTAAAATGACAAAGAAAATACTGAAGCATATCTCTCTATCTGCTTGGTACCTGATGACACCGAACATCTCCTCTCTACCCAGTCTGCAGCTGCCATTTACACCTCACCCCAGCCCATTGCTTTCGTTTCCACCTCTATAGTCCTTCATCATGTTTGTAGTCTTCCCTTTCTCCTTTTTTTCTACTCAGATCAGTGCCACATCGAAGTCGTTGTTCAGGTCTTGCCTTAAAGTGGTACCAATAAACCTCTATCTTTTTCACCATGCCTTGATACTAAGGGGAACTATGGAGGCACACAGAAACAATTCTACTGTCTTCATATGGTCTTATCATTGAATCTCGAGGTTCCTTTTTTAGCTACTATGAAATAAATCAAGAAGCTTGTCACCTCCCTGATTCATTTCCCAGGTCTTGCAACCATATAATAGAACAGGGACAACCAAGGTCTTATAAAGCCAGATTTTGATGTTTTAGCATATCTTGGTCACATTCCCCACCTGCTTCAATAAACCAAAAGCAGCCCTAGCCTTTGCCACTCTAGCATAAAGCAGTTCCATCATTTTTACAGGGTCTTAGCATCTCATCTTGTGGATCCTTCTTAAGCCATTGTTATAAAATAGGTCAATAAGCTTGTTGTCTCCTGGATTCATTTTCCATCACATAATAATATAATCAGACAGAATTGAAGCATATAGAAAACTTAAATTAGAAAAAGTTTTCATTAGAAAATACACTGAAAATTTTGGTTGATAAGGAGAAAGGATGCACTAGTTGCATTGTAGTATTTCAGTAATGCCATTTGCTCCTCAGATACACAGGTAATATTTCTATACAGTCTTTGTAGTAAAAGCTGAATATGTCACTATACTTAACAGTAATCTATGCAGGCTTTCAATAAAAATCCACTACCTTCACATGAGAAAGTGCATACACTATGCCAGAATTCTCTATTTTAAATTTAATATTAATATAAGTTTCTTCTGGACATAAAGGGATCGTTTTTGTTGTTATGATGTAATAAATTGATCCTCCTTAGAATTACTGCACTATATCAGATTTTATTAGGCAAAGTGGACATGTAGGTGCAGTAATCAGCTTGGACAGTGAAATCAGACAGCCAAGTTTGAATTCCAGTCAGGTTCATTACATTCACTTACGTGCAAATATCCTTAGGAAAAGTATGAATATCCTCTCCCCAATTATGGGTTAAATAGCAGGACCTGTATCTAGGAAAATTGTTGTCATTCTCAAAAAAATTAATGCAATATTCACTCACAAAAACATAATTATTCTTGCAATCCAAAATATATTTCAGCTTTAACCCACAATGGGGTGATAAGCTGTAAAGAACAAATCAATCCATTAATCAGAATCAGTAGGCAAGTACATGCTTTCACAATAAAATTGGTCTTAACTGAGTTGGAAAAAATTTTCAAGATATATTTACATTTAAGTTCAAATTTTAAGATATATTTATGTTAAAGTTTCTGTTAGAGATAAAGTGAGTGATCAGTTTTTGTTGTTATTGAGTAATAAATTTATCCATCCCAGAATAATAACACTGACAGATAAAAAACTAATAATTTATTTATAACTACAGTATATTGTAGTAATCAAATACATATATTTCTATGGTGAATATCATCTAGATTTATTCATAAATAAAATTAATTCTGCACTTTGTTTACAATAATAAGACCTGATACTCCAAAAACAAATTATTTTCAACCTTATAACAAGTACATCTATTATAAGTTGAAAATCACATCATATTTTGCTCATATAAATATATGTGTATCCTGAAAATTATATCAATATAATATCAATTAATATCAATTTTATTGGGAAAACATTGACATGCCTAATAAAATCTGACATAACATAGTCATTCTAGGATGGATCAATTTATTAATAATAATAGAAACCCCATCCTTGACTTTATGTCCAACAAAAACATTAATATTTAACATAAGACAGGCTATTTCATGAGTAACCTGCTGGGTCTAACACTCGTTACCTTTATAACTATAGGCATGAAGGAGAATTTTCTCCAACAATTGGATTCTACTTTGTCTGATATAACACCCCAAAAGAACACCTTCAAATGAAGACAACTTGTTCGAAATAATGCTCTCATTAGTCAAATGTTGTTTGAAATTAAATAATCAGCAATATGAAGTAGCATTAGCAACAGCTGACAACAGAAGACATATTGAATGCAGTCTATCCTCCAGTAGAACAAACTCCCATTTAGTCATATGATTGGTTCCAATCAAATGAGAATAATCACTAAGAAAATCCCCCACCAAAATTTATAGACAAATCCTACTGGGATTTCTTCCAAACCAATAAAAATGGACAATTCTCATTTTCATATTGCATATTTTTGTACTTTCTTGTCTTGATGTCAGAACACTATAACCACTTGACTGTATCCCTTTTTCATGTGAACACAATTCTTACTTTGTGAACTTTTTGCCTTATTACTGTTGCTTTGCCTAATTTTGATATATTGTTTGCTGAATATTATTTTGTCTTTTTTTCTTCCTTTCCTTATTGTTTATTGAGAACTTGTCAATTACACTTAACCATAACCAATTACTCCACAATAGGCAAATGTTGTGATTACACCCCTCTTATCTGCCAAAGAAATTCTGCTAAAAACTGTTAGTTGGTATTGCCAAAGCTGTATATAAGAAAAGGACTCTCTTCTCTTTTCCTTTTCCTACAGGATGTTTTAGAGATAAGACATGTCTCGGTTTCCCAGTGAATTTCATGTTACAGATTAGTACACAGCAAACAATGTCCCAAGCTTATGCAATAACGCATCAGTATATCTAATAATTCTATCAAACCAACAGATGCAAAAACTCTTTTCATTGCAACTTCACACATATACATGTACAAAAAGGACATTTCTACATATACATCTTCATTTAATACTTTTGTATTCTTTCCATATTAAATTTGGTTCTTGCACACTGTTCAGATTCTGAAAACTTTTGGGCAGTATATTCTATCCCCAGCAGTTGTAACTGGCCCAAATTTCAGCCCAAAACAATAGCATTATTAAAAGCCTAAGAGACACAGTGAAAAGCATGTTGCCAATATGCTTAAAGCATAAAATCTATAATGAATGTATAATACCAGCTTTTATGTAGGGGTGTGAAACATGAAAATTAATAAAATCACTTGAAAATAAACTCAAAAATGCACAAAGATCAATCTAAGACATAGAGGTCAACATGGATATAAGGATAGAATAAAAGATATAGATGTGATTATGTAAAAATTATCCAGAATATATATATATATATATATATATATATATATAGGATAACAATATTGTTAGAGGGATGCTAACTTACTCACTTTATAAAGGACAATAATTCAAAATACAATTGAGTTACTTCCTTTGTCTGCTATTTGAAGCAAGCACTTCTGAATTCAACCTGGTGACAAGCTGACATGCATGTGAAATTCCTGGTTTAAATCGAAACTAATATTTGCTATTCTCAGTAAATGAAAGAAAGTTATTTTACTATGTGTTAAAATACACTTGTCTTTTATTTTCATTCACGCTGTTCATCCCACAAACCTGGGATGTAACAGGTATATAAATTTTTTATAGCAAAACAGTTTTAGAGGAAGGATATATGACAAAGTGAAAAAAGATTTAATGTGACACATTTCATCCCTTAGGACTTCATTGGACTAAGTTTATTTACACTGATGCAACTATACATGCACTTGAACAAGAAACACTGGGAATTTTAAATTTTGAAAATATTTTTAAAAAATCTTTTTATAATTTATTTTGTATGATATTTTTATATAATATATATTTTTTATATAATATATATTTTTTATATAATATATGCATAACAGTAATAGCAGAATAATTAGATGAAATATAAGAAATGCTAAATGATTTAAATAATGTTTTAAGGTAGGTTTAAAGATAAAAAGAAAAAAAAATTCTTTTATTGTAACATTCTGAAAATGATCAAAGAATAAAGGAGGTAGACCTGGAAGATGTCCAGGAATACAACTTTTTAGGTACTTGACATTATGGCTTTATCAAGCAATGTACTGAAAATGTAAAGTGTATAATGCTAAATTTGATGTACAGGTGTGAAAGATGGGAATTAATAAAATTCTAGAAAAACTAACTCAGAAACACACCAAAGCCTGTCAGAGATAAAAAGAGGTCAACGTTGATCCAAGAACAAACCAAGGTAAGAGATATAGATGAACAACAAAAATAAGAATGAACTGGAAAACATAGCAAGAAAAAAGATGTAGTAAAAGGTTGATTGAATGATTCTCAACAAATAATAAACATAGCAGAAAAATATCAAGGCATTCACTGTGAAGACATGACAAAGTTTAGTACAATTATTGTTGACCTCGAAAGATTTGGAAAAAGGATTTGTTTAGCAGTGGATATGCAATGGCTTATGGTGAAGTTGACTGTCAGAGGATTAGACATGTGATGTACATACATACCTGGTACAGATGGGGAATTGTCATCACAGTGGCTGCTTTTGGAAGAGTGATTTTGAAATGAATCTTTATCGTTGCTTGACTCATCAATATTGTCCTTTGTCTCCTCCCATTTCTCAACAGAGACATCAAGATCTTTGTTCCCATTATAATAATCTGCCGATCGGGGTCGAGGATAAGATGGTCTCCGATTCTTGGGACTTAACATTTTTTCTGTGATAAAACTTTCATCAAGACCAAAATCTCTTAGGGTCTCGTTGAATTTTTTCTCAGCACGATTTTTTGCATTTTTCTGAAAGAAGAAAGCAATATTTTTTAAATTCAATGACTTATATACATGCAGGGTCAACAGCACAATGGATGGTGGTAGATTGGGCTCCACCACATTCAGAGCAGTGCATGACACAGGAGAGCTTCTGAAACTGAAGTCACTGGCCAAGGTGGAAGGTTTCCCCTAATAGAATTCGCCAACTCTATTTACCCAAGACACTACACATGAAGCTTAATCTCCATTTGTTTCCTAGTACGTACACCGCTAATGGCTGACAATGCTTCATCTAATAATAAAATTCAAGAGAATATTAGTATTTGTTTACTAATCACCATAGACTAATGGTCTGAGTAGTTGTAATGAAATGCAAGGAAAAATTAAGACAAAAGAAATACTAGTCAGAAATTAATAATGGTTGACAATGCTTCATCTAATAATAAAATTCAAGAGAATATTACAACTTGTTTATTAATAGCCATAGACTGAGTAATTGCAATGAAAATCAACTAAAATTAAGATGAAAGAAATACTAGCCAAAAATAATAGTCACTGTAATCCTTCATTTTATAAAAAAAATTAAAGAAAAATGTTTTACTTACTTTTTCTACTTGTTCAAATAAAAGTGGTCTTTTCTCTAAACGTTCACGCATCTCTTGAAGTTGACGTGAATAATTTTTCTGTTGTTCCCTGTGTAAATGAAAGCAACAAACCAGTGTTAAATGCTTTCTTAATGGTGCCTATTACAAATCTTATTCCAGGAAATGATAGTTACTGTGTTTGATAGCATAATAAATACTTCCACCATTTGCATTTAATATTACAGTATTATGGGGTTATATGCAAATAGTATAATAAGCAGTAGAAATGTGCTTCTACAGAAGGATACTGAAAATTTCATGGATGAAGTGAGTAGGTAATGAGGAAGTCTTAAAGAAAATGGCAACTGAAAAGAACATTTCTCATCAGAATCAGGAAAAGACAGCTAAAATTCCTTGGACACATCATGCGACAGGTAGGCTTGGAAAACTTAACCCTCACAGGGTATGTTGAAGACAAGAGAAATAGGGGAGCCACTTACCTAACAAGCTTGTGTGAATGAATGTTGGAACAGGAAAGGGGGCAGTGTTAGCAAAGAGAAAAATCTGCTAAAAAGAAAATAGCAGTGTAAACTTTGCTCTCCTTGCCTTCAGTGCCAGCCTAAGAAAACTCTAGATTGATTGATTTTACAACTTATGTTATTTAATGTCATTTTTTTGTATGCAAATTAAACTCTCTGCTCAGTAATAATGGTCAATCAGACTGGCTTCATTAACCCTTACCTCATGCCAAGATGCCTAAATTCAAACTAGTTAGGTGTAAATGTGCCATGAAGTAGGGCATCTCTTGTGTCTCTGGTCATTCCTGACAAGTGATCTTCCATCAGTTATTTGAAACTTATCTTGTTACTGGGTCTTGCAGAAGGGTATCAAATAGTTCACAAACATTCATACCAATCTTTAAAATGCTTCCTCAGCATTTTTGGGGTGAATGGTGATTATAGAGTTAGGCAATGTACAAACAATGATAGCCTGTAACATTAGCCAACTAGTTATTTCAAATTCACATATACGAACCAGGGGATATTTTTGGAGTCATTTTGTTTTCTTCATAAGAAAAGAGTATGTGGTCATCACATAGTAATGACCAGTCTATTTGAAGTTATGAAATAATTGCAGCCTTTCTGCACCATAGTCAGGATCATCAAGTCAATGCAAACAAGATTTTTCTTAGCTTCACATATGTGTTTCACCAGTTTTGAATACAGTTTTGAATTCAGTTTTCCTTCTCCTAGACCAGTTACCACCCAAGGCTATAGAAGCCAGTCTGCCCTACAATTTACCCATAGGTGTGGAGAGAAGAGTTGGATTCCTACCTTTCTTTCTTTCCTTGTATTAGCACGTTTTTTTTAAACATATTACCCCAAGCAAGGTGAGAATGCCACTAGTATGCAGGGGGTTACAGAGAGTGAAGGAGAGAGAAAAGGCTGAGTATAGAGGGGACCGAGCAAAGGATAAAAGCTGAACAGGGTTCAAAAAGATAGAAGATGGTGACTGACATTGCATTTAAATTTTTGAAGATTGTAGTTATCAGGGAAGCAAGGAAACAGATGGGAGTTCCACAGTCAGGAAGTGTGAGAAAAGAAACTTTTGGAGTAGAAGTGGTGGTTAGATTTACCTAATTCAACAGTAAAAGGGTGAGGATAGCATGCTTAAAAACACATAGTTTGGGTATCAGGGAAAAAGGCTTGTTAGAGAAGTAGCCATGAAAATATTTGTAGAAAAAACAGAGGGAAGCCATATCACATCAGTGAGAAAGTGACTGAAGTCAAGATGCCAAGTCAGGATCAATTACATTGCAGATCTTTCTTTGGATTTTGTCAAGAATCTTGAGATGAATAGCAGGAGCACTTGACCAGATATGGTAACAGTATTGAATGCATGGACAAATGGTAAATTTGTAAATGTGCAAGATGGACTCTGACAAGAAAAACCTTCTGGCACAACACAACATTTTATTGCAATAGATGTAGCTATTGTTACAAGATGAGATCTTGCCCTGCTTCGATAAATGGAAGTTACCATCACGAGTCCCCGACTCGAAATGAGAACTGCACGTCTACATATAGGCTCGACACAGATACTTCCGTTTGGGATAAATTCAAAAAAAAAATGAAAAGAATTAAATCAACCAATCGGACCGTCTCCTGCGTATTCAAGAAATCACCATTTGGAGCTGATAGGCGTGTATAAGTTCAACACGGGAAAGTCAAAAAAGGGGCAGTCCCATTCAACGGCGGAGGTAGAAGGGTCACGTCGCTCGCTCCTGACACACTGGCCCGGCGACGAAACGAAGCATGTGACTGCTGCTGCTAATGAACTCTCGTCCGACGCTTTGTCAAAGGGTACCTTTCCCCTTCCATAAGTCAAGTTAACTCCACGAACTTTACTTGCCACTACCATAGACACTCAACTTCTTAAATACGAACCTTTACTTGTTCTTATTTTCCTCACTAGAAAGACTATAAAATATATCTACAGTCTTTCTTGTTCTTTCGATTCTGAATTTCATTGTTTGCAACCAAACGCAGTATTTCGCCCACATTGTTTTCACATCGCCCACATAACTAAATACGGAATATAACACTATTGATTTGATGTAGGCATTCTACTTCAAGTCAGTTGAGAATGTGAGGCCAAGAAGGTGTAGTGTGTTGCTCCCCATGAGTCTAGCATCAGCCATGCTGATGGCGAGCAGGAAAGTTTCTCTATAGTGGTTGTATGAGAGCTGTTTAGTTTTGGAGGCATTAAAATTTACGAATCATTTCTAATTAACCACTGATTGGAGGTCCTTTTCAAGTGCAGCAGCCAAACTGACTTTGTCAACTATGACAGATGCTATTGAGACAAGAGTAAATGGTAGTATCATCAGTATAAATGCTTACTAGGGAACTGATGACATCAGGGAGATCATTGATGCTGATCAGAAACAGCATAAGATTTAGGATATAGACTAGAGGGACACTTGCATTTGTGTGAAAGGATCTGGAAGCGAGTCCATTCAAAATGACCTTCATTTCACAATTTGATAGGAATGATTGGATTATATCAAACCCCCATCCTGTAATACCATAGCCTTGGAGCTTACATAGAAGACCAATGTTCCAAACCTGTCAAATGTCTTTGAGATATCTAAAGCCACAGCTCAAACTTCATTGTTATTATCAAGAGGTTGGTATACATATTCAGTGATGGCCATTAGATCTGGCAAAATGGAAGCCATATTGTCAAAATGTAGGCTGTTTTGCTTATGCTGCGTCTTGAAAAAACACTATATAAAATTCACTATTTTTTTTATCCATAATGTTGAATGATGTTGAAAATTGCCACAAACATTGTTGATTTATTTAAGATGGAATGATCTATTATGACATGTCTCCAATATATATTTAGATACATTGTATTTATTTTCAATTTTTCTAGTAAAATTTTTCACCTATATTACATGTAATCCATTTTTGTATATGATCCATTATTGTACATAGTTAGGTTACAATAAAGTTTGTATTTCATATGAATACTACCTTATAAAAATTGAGATGTAGTAGAGTGGGGTGGGTGGGTCACATATCATAGATGCAGGGAGGGGTGGCAAGAGACCCTTGTACCATTGTATCTATAAGAATGGATCAATAAATTATCATTATTTTCCATCCATATAAGTAATTAATGGATTTAATCCGAAATTATTTTTATTACTGTAAACATATTTAGTAGCTACATATGTCTAAGTGGATAGCACAGTTTTCCTTTTAATAACTGAAGTTAATATCCACTGGCATAGACATGGAAATTTACCTTGAAAGTGGATAGTCAGTCAGAAACTGCTTGGAGTCATGATACACTAGTTGTTTGTTCTGCCTGGGCAATCCTGCTGTCATGTGGTACACTTTCAAGCCCATAGTGCTGTTTTCCTATGATATAGAAACTATCTCCCGTTTGCAGTCCTCAATTTAGGAAAAACCCATGATATGCTGTTTTCTGGTTTGGGAAACATGTCATTGCAAGTGACATAGCAGATAAATCCAACCGCTCAAATCTAGAATCCTAAATATGGTGTCTCCAGAAGCACAGAATCTCCAACAACTCCAATTCCCATTGGGAATTATTATAAAAAACATCCCTACACACACCATGTCCTGTGAAACAACAAAGGACCAACAGCTTCAGAAGTTTCTTCAGGACAACAAAACATCTTGAAAATTTAAAAAATACATGTCCTGAACACCTCGTTGGAAATAATGCACAACCAAATCAAATGCATTGCATCCACCATACAGATAACCATTCAAAATCCTGAAGAGACATTAAATTTTTGAAATGTATGTGTTAACAACACAAACTAAAATATCTGTTTGAACAGACTGAAATTTGTCTTTCTAAATGCTACGTGACTAAATGGGGAGACATTACACTATCTCCTGTAGCACCAAAATTACAAAGTCAAACTGTGACCCAATCTGGGTGACATATTGAATGGCCCAGTCATTTCTTATTTTAATTTGTTCTCTTTTTACAGCACATTTTTGTCATATGAACTTATATAGCATGATTCTAACACAAGAAAAACTTTCTGTGCTACTGAATGGACATTGTTTAAACATTATAGTACTTCTTAATATACATTGCATGCATATTCTTTTACATTTTAGTTTGATAAAACATGTTCCCACATTTCTATTATATTAACAACAAGAATAATGTTAAGATATTATGGACTTCTCCAGGCATCCTCTTAAGTTTCTCTTTTATAATAGACAGCTAAGAACCACCAGTATTCATAGTTGTACAGCCGTTCCATCAGCTATGTATTTACCCTTTGTTTAATTCCTACAGCTGGTAAAACTTAAACGTTAACAAATCTTTTCTGGTATTTGGTTTGTTGACATTATAACCATGCAACATGTTTATCTAACTGTCTTAGTGTTGACAACACTGTCAAATAATTTAGATGCTTGGATGAAAGTTTTTAGTTTCTGTAAATATACTTATTCAGTATAAACATTTATTATTATGCAATGATTCTTTCAAATTTGAGTCCTAACCTTATATTTACTAAGATGAGCTTAGAATGGTACAAGGCTACAAGTT